ACTGATTACTGCTGGGTGAGGAAGAGCTGATCTTCCTAAAGGGAGGGACTCTAGATAAGCTGACTAGGCCTCAGTAGATGAACTTGCACTGAGGTACATCTGGGGACACTTAACTTGACACAATAGGCCTTAACACAAATGACAGAATGTATGAATTCCAGTGGGGGGTATGGGAGGGGGCCAATGGGGAAGGGGGTAGATATAAAGATGATTAAGATGTTCTATATGAAATACACAAAAATTCAGTAAAAATTAAAAAGAAAAGAAAAAGACCTCTGACACAGAGTCTCAGAAAAGGCCTGGGCAAATAGAAAGCTATTTAGGAAACTGAGGTTCCAGGTATACTGGAGCACAGAACCCCTGGTTGACTAAGAGGAAGGACTGTCTTCTGGGACTGTTATGAACAAAGGCTTACGTTTATTTTTCTAAAGGCTTTGAGGACTTCAGGCTTTGCAGGTGCTTTGGTGGGGGTTCCAAAGACGGGATGCAGACCTGCTTGCCAGTCAACTTGCAGGCTGGTCCCTGAGAGGGAGGGCAGGCAGGAGGTGAACAGAGGAGACGTAGGTGGGGCAAGTGCGGAGAAGTCGTGGTCTTTGCATTGACTAGTTACAGTAGGATCTCCAGGGTGTCTGTACTGAAGCCAGCAGACAGAAGGCAATAGTATACACACACACACACACACACACACACACACACACACACACGCCATAGATTCACAAGAATAATACACCTCATTGTATTCCAATGGTGATAACAACTGTGGTGTTCAGGAAACCCTCCATGGTTCGGGGCTGTCCAACCTTTTGATGCTGTAATATGATGCTGTCATCTACAAATGTGTTGAACAACATTCATAACTGTCCTGGGACATAGTGTGGGCTTCAGGCTTCAGGCTGGACATGCCAGCTAGATGATGTTTCAAGTAGGGATTGGTGTTCTAAATATACTACATGGGATCTGGGTAATAGTTACAGATAACTATCTGTGCCAATCAAAGTCTGCTCAGAAAAATCTCTCATTCTAATTAGATGCTATACCAATTTGTTTTTATCATTACCCCTTCCCTAAATAATTAAAGAGTTTATAGGTCCTTCATAGGAGAGGGTTCTGTGTCACTTGATGCCACTTTTGAAGCTTAGAGAAACTGTTCCAAAGGTTGTCTGTAACTTAGGAATGTCATAAACTCAGTGCCTGACCACGAGCCATGAATTTATCTAATACTGTGTGACAGAACGGGTACCTTTGCCTTCAATGTGACCTCCCTCTCCCACACCATTTTGCAGCATCACCAATTGAATGTGGGAAGCCTCTGGTGGAGCCAAAGAAATGCCCTGGAAGGGTGGTAGGTGGGTGTGTGGCCAATCCACACTCCTGGCCCTGGCAAATCAGTCTTAGAACAAGGTAAGAACATTTCAGGAGCGTTTTTCCATCTTTCAATGTGAACTCCACACAGTCTTCATGTCAAACCCACAGAGCTGAGTTATCAGAATCTGCCTCTCCATTCTCCTAAGGAGTAAACACAGCTACATCGTTTCACAACATGTTTTCTAAGTTCTCTACTTTGAAAATGTTCAAAAATGGACAACTCTGACCGGTATGGTGGTACACACCTTTAATCCCAGCACTCGAGAGGAAGAGGCAGGTGGATCTTTGTGAATTCTAGGCCAACCTGGCCTACATGACATTCCTAGAAAATATTAAAGGTGTTCATAGACTCATTGGCTATTGTAAAATAACAAAAAGGGAATATTTTCACAAATGTGACATTGTGCCAGTACTGGGGCTCAAGAAGGAGCTTACCTATCAGAGACAGACTTTCAAAAATACTGTGTGCATTTTTGTGACTCGTTAAATTTAATGCAGAGGCTGTGCATGCCTATAAAAACATACGAACAAGCCAGAGCTCTGACCACCCTAGTTTAGGCGTGCTATGTCCAACCGTGTGGAAGCCAGGCAATTTGGGCTGTCTGCAGTGAAACACATCTGTTAGTTAAATTCTCCTTCCCTGGGCATGGCTTCTAACACACACACGGAGCAGGCTCATGGCTGCCTTGCCCAGGATCACTGCCGCATGAGCGTGCATACTCGAATGCTGTTCACAGCTCCTTTTGTGAGCCTGAGGCACACCATCCACAGATATGGGCGTCTGGCTGCACTCTGTTGATTAATTAGTTCGTTTTTCTTGACTTTACCACTTAGTAACTTTTTCTGTATAGTCTTTGTCTTCCACAGTTAGAATTCATTATTTTCCGAAGTGCATGGTGGTTTATCTCCTGACTGGTTTTGAGCTGACCTGATCCTGTTTGGCTATTTGTATTCTCACCATTACTGTCTGGTTGGGAGTCGGTGACCTCCTTAGCCTGAACTACTGCTGGTGTAAGCAGTCCTAGAAACAGGCTCCCAGGGGTCACATTTGGCGCCTCAAAGGATGATTGATCAAGACCCTTTTCACAGCCCTAGCCAATAAGAAATAAAGGCATCCTCAAGGGGAGGCTTCGGCTGGTAGCTTCTGCTGGGGTCCAGGGCTAACAGGCCGAGGCCAGGGAGGCGGGACTTCATGCTGGTGCCACTGCCTTTGCTCCACCTGTTCCCTCAAGACAACTTAGAGTGACGTAGACCGACCTGGAAAATTCTGCTGCTTATACATGGCTCTCACCATCCTGTGTGTGGGCCGCAGCCTTTTCTTCCACAGGTCATCAAACTGAGTGAACATGTCTTTCTGGTTTTCTATTCAATGGAGTGGAACACACCCTCTGATTTGAACTGAAATCCTGGCTTCTTCCCCTAGATTTAGAGGACAGCACTTCTGTGGAGGCACGCTAATATCCCCAGAGTGGGTGCTCACCGCTGCTCACTGCTTGGAGAAGTACGTCCCATGGGTACCTGACGTGAGGTCTTGCTCTGAAGAGTCCTCCCTCCCCCCTTTCCTTCCTCCCGTCCTTCCACAACAGTGACACAAGGGGCTGAGGAAATGTGTACAGAAGCCCGCAGCAGAGTTGCCAGGGCAACTGGGTGAGAGGGAAGCAGTTCTAGAGAAAAGCTATGGAAGACCCGGAGCAGGAGGCTTTGTGGGCGTTCTAGCTAGCTGCTCCATTGCTACGATAAAGAACTAATCAAAAGCACTGGAAGATGAAAGGTTTTATTTGACTTACTGTTCTCAGTTCATTATCAAGGGAAGCCACAGCAGGAACTCAGAGCAGGGACCTAGAGGCAGGAGCGGAAGCACAGACTGTGGAGGAACTGCTTACTAGCTTTCTCCTCGGGTCCATGCTCAGCCTGCTTTCTTACACAATCCAGGTCCACCTGCCCAGGGGTAGCACCACCCACAGCAGGCTGGGCCCTCCCACATCATCCAGTAATCAAGAAGATGCCCCACAGATGTCCGTGCAGGCCAATCCAAAAAGGCAATTCCCCAGTGTGTCAGGTTGACAACAGAAGCTATCCAGCATAGTAGGTCTAGATAAACAGATCTGTTCAGTGTCAGGCGTGGGTCCCCAGAGCAGGTCAAGACTATGGTTCAGACAAGCCTGGGATTTTGTTTCTTGTTATTCAGAAGTCACTGATTCTGGTGGCTGAGGTGCTGGGAGGCCATGTGGTATTTATGGCACAAAAGGACACAAGAGAGGAAACTAGGCTTTTTTGCTTGTGACGTCACTGTCCCTTTTAGGTCTTCGACGCCTGCCTTCTACAAAGTTGTCTTGGGGGCACATGAAGAAGTTAATCTTGGATTGGGTGTTCAGCAAATAGAAGCAGCCAAACTGTTCTTGGAGCCCTCAGGAGCTGACATTGCCCTGATAAAGCTAAAAAGGTACTGACTCCCTGGTGCTTGTACCCCCAATCCGAGTGAAGATAGTGGTCGCATACCTGGGTTTTATGAGCCACCACCGTGTGTGGTGGTGATGGTGGGGGTGCTGCCTATAATGGAAAGTATGGGGCTTTAGGAAAAAAAAACAGCACCAAATTTCATCTAAAAACCATGATTGAGCCCAGCTTTGCTACCCCAGGCACAGTCATGAAAAAGGAATCAGGACTCAGTTTCCTCATGTGGAGAAAGAGTTGAAATAGAAGGTACCCGATCAACCCTGCAGCTCCCTCATGAACATGCATTCGTGATCAGCAAACAATTCAGTTAGTCCGGGCTGACAAAGCTCCTCTGAACTTAATGTGTCTGAGGGAATCTGATGAGATTATGCCTCTCAAAGCACTTTAAAACATCCTAAGTGCAGAGACTGGCAAAGTGTCTCAAAGAATGTTTGCTGCTTTCCCAGAGCTGGTTCCCAGCACTCATATCTGGCAGCTAACAACCACCTATAACTCTGGCTCCAGGGGAACATGCACACACACAAACAAAAAATAAAGTAAGTCTAAAAGACCCCCCGAAGTGTGAAAACAGAGTGAGACACACACAAACCACTCACAATCACAGATTCTCACAGTGCTCTTATTTGGTCTAATTTCCCTGTTGAAATGTGTTTCATTAAGCCTGACACCATGGTAAGTCTGTTACAGAGTTAAGAATGTTTGGAAATAGATTCCTGTGGACACAGCTCACAAACAGTCAGCTATTTTGAGAAATGCATGTTTGGGACAGCAGCAGGCACACGGAGCACATTAGCCGTGCCTGATGGCTTCCAGATGACAAAGGGATGATCTGGCATTGACAAGGACTGGCCCAGCCAGTGCAGGCTGTTGGAGAAGGTCTGGCTACTGTTCTTCTGGGTCTGGTCACAAACATAGGGAAATGTTTCTGGTCTGTAAATTGAGGGGTGATGTTTTGGGGTGTTTTGATGATCTAGAAAGGGGAGAAGAAGGCATTCTTGGCTTCTTCTATCAAGCGGTTGGTTCCTCTCATGTTCTCTTGTGTTCTCCTAGCAAATAAAAAAATCACAGACTCTCCTGTCCTCACAGTTCTCTGGGACTTGTCAGGGTAATCTGATGGCTCAGAAAAGGGACTCAATCTATTGGAGGATGCTAGCAGCATTCTCTGATAGCCTAATGTGGTTGATTTACAGTGTGTCCTCTCCACATCCCCACAGTCCAAGGGTCTAAGGCTTTTAGTGTCCCATGAGGACCCTGTGAGTAACTTCTGAGTGAGAGGTTAGGTCTGTTCTGTGGATTCTGGGAAAATGTGTCTACTGTGAAGCTGGCGACAATTTATTATTATTATTATTATTATTATTATTATTATTATTATTATTTGGTCTTTTTGAGACAGGGTCTCCCTGTAGCTCCAGCTGGCCTGGAACTCACTATGTAGACCAGGATGGCCTTAAACTCACAGAGATCTACCTGCCACTGCCTCCCAAGTGCTGGGATTAAAGGCGTGCGCCACCATGCCCCAGTGACAGTGATGATTTTCATTCAGAACAGGGCATTTCTCAATTCCAGTCTTTTTCCCTTTTGAACTTATTAAGGTTTTATGTTGGAAAAATCAAAGCTATAATGCTTGTGAATCCTTAGAACTCTAAGTAGATAAACATTCTTTGAAACAGGGCCATCTTGGTTGTCCAAGGAGCTCACTTCCAATGCTCTCTCTCTTAGTGTCCAGCATGTCCCTGGGTTCTTAGAACCATGGCTTTATAACATTTGCTGATGAGGAGACTTAGGACCCAGAAGGATGGAGCAACTTGCTCTGGCCACACCACATTTGCTCCTTCCATAGTCCTGTGGCCATGCTTCAACTAGATGCTATGCCTGCAGACCAAGGCCCTCTTACACTGACTGATGGATACATAAGAAACTGTAGACTAGGCAGATGGCTCAGTTGGTAAAGGGCTTGCTACACAAACATGAAGACCTGAGCTTAAATCCCTACCACCCATGTAAAATGCTGGGCATGGCAGCATATACCTGTAATCCCAGCGAGGCAGAGACAGGGGATCCCTGGAGCTCACCCAGTCTAAGCCTCAGTGAACTTAAGGCTCAATGACCCTGGTGGAAAGTGACGAAAGAAGACAGCTGGCATCTACATGCACATGCACACATGTCTACATGGTACCTGTATGCACTTGTATGTACATCACAGATGCAACTGACAGTGAACTATAGGACAGTGTGAGGATGAAGGGTTTCTACACTGCTCTGCCAGTGAAGTGAATACCAGCTCAGAGGGGTCCTGGGACATCAAGGCAGGTGGCACTTAGCTGTCAGTGATCTATGGATTAAGGCCGGAAGCCCCCATAGGGCAAATGATGGAACATTCGATGCTTCCCTTTCAGCCCCGCCATCATCACTGACAAGGTAATTCCAGCTTGCTTGCCATCTCAAAATTACGTGGTTGCTGACCGGACACTATGTTACATCACTGGCTGGGGAGAAACTAAAGGTAAGATGAACTCCAGGGCCCATATCAAGAAGTGGTTTTGACATACAGACTATATGCCTATATGGAAAGGGGAACATTTTGAAGAAAGTTGTACAGATTCTTATGTGTTAACTGTGGTTTGGCCGCTTCCTGGTTTTGTCTGCGTGCTTGCCTACAATCCCACAGTCAGTCACCAAGAAATGTGAGCGACAGGAGAGGTCCACTCCTTTGGTCCTGCAGTTGCAATATGCATGTTGCTTTCCTGAGTGACAGGGCTTTGACCCATAAATTGCTTTTCATGTGACACTGCCATTTTGAGTTTTCAAATACAGTGTAACACATAACAACAAAAGTTATAGCTAAACTTGTCTTCCCAAATACCCACATGCCTAATATGTGTGAGAGGTTTGTTAGACATGGGAGGAGCTGACAGCTGGGGAAGGAGAGAAAGGCCCCAGGGCTCCTGGTTCCAGGATGGCATTTGATTCTGGTTGATAGAATATGGGATTGAGAAGAAACCTTCATGTGGGGTCCGCTATCATCATCTTACTTACTTTGTGGACCCTGTTCTGTCTTTGCGCATGCCCAATAATAACTACGTCCAACAGGCTAGAGCCCTTGGCTGTGGGAGCAGCAGGAGCATCTTAGGACCTCTGCCTCCCTCTCAGGAGTATTGAGGAGGGCACGGCTCTGTCCCAAGCTGGAGAAATCTTTCTTAAGAAGAAAGATTTTGTAGCTTAGAAAAAAATCAAAGAAACAAGCAGGTCTATTGGTCAAATAATTTGAAACTTGGCTTCCCCCTTTTTACGGGTTTTCTGCTCCCCTTTTGCACACTTCTGAGTCGGCAGCATTGCGGTCAAGGAAGGGCCTGCGCAACTCAGCTCATTCCTTGTGGTTTGTATCTAAGGATTTCGCATGCTTTTATAAACTCTTGGAGTGAGAGCTTGTTATTCCTTTGTACAAACGAGGAGCCTGAGGCTCAGAGATGTGGGATGATAACAGCAGAAAACATATGCCTGTCGCTGGAGAGGAGCCCTGGCTCCACTCACCGGCTGTGGGTGATTAGAAAAGTCCCACTGATGGCTCCCCAGGCTGAAAGGCACAGCAGGGCTGTTGTGGGGAGAGCAGCGAGAGAATGTGCGAAGTAACAACACATAGTCCACCGATCACGAACGCTGCTCTTACTGAAGGTGGGATGCGGTTGTATCTGATGAGACTCATCCCTGGAAGTGACAGACGATCCAACTCAAGTTGGATTGAGCAAAACAAGAGAAATCCCTAGTGATCTGGAAAGTCAGTTGGCTCTGACGATGGCCTAGGCCTCAGGCCCTGCCCAGCCATGGTCTGGGTGCCATTCAGGCCACCTAGGGGTTTGCCTCCCTTGTGGCTACAGATGCTGTGTTAATTCTGATTCTGCCAATGAGAAAAGGGAGGTCACTTTCCACAATGCAAACAATAGCTTGCCTAGCTCTGAAAGGCCAGACTCTAGTCATGAACTGCTTCTGAGCCAGTTACTCCCGGCTCAGACCTGTGTGACGTGCTCTGTTCTGGAGCTGGGGGCACAGCCCGTTCATTCCTAGAAGCAAGGGGAGTGTCCTCAACAGGACTACGGAAGGTAAGGTGAAAACTTTGAAGGAGCCAGGGGGCAAAAATTCATGTGGGTCTCTGTGGTTAAGCTTCTTTCTCAACTTGACTGGATTTAGAATCACTTAAGAGACACATTTCTGGGTGTATCTATGAGGGCATTTCCAGAGGGGTTTAACCAATGAAGGAAGAACCACCCACAGCTGGAAGCCCAGAGTAAATAAAGGGGGGAGAAGAACACCTGACGAGCACCAGCATTCGCCCCCGCTTTCCGATCCACCAAGAGGTGCCACGGCTGCAAGTTGCGGTTGTCACATGTGGACTGAACACTGAGACCATGAGTCAAACAAATCTTCCTCCCTTAAGTTCTTCTCAGGTATTTGGTTGGGGAAAGAAGAAAAGCAGCTAATACATCCTCCAGAGCATCTTGGTTAAAGACGGATCCAAATTCCTAAGTCTCTGAGAACGAGTTCTGGCTCTACCATCTTCCCTGAGACTTTAAGAAGTTGGCTAACCTTTTTAAAGCATCAGTGGTCCCATCTGTACTACCTATAAGGTCATTGCGGAACACCTTCACCATCGTCACCACCATCATCACCATCATCACCACCACCACCACTAGCACCATGACCACCATCCCTATCAACTCCATTTCTATCATCATCATCTCTACCTTACCGTCAGTATCACCATTATCACCATCAGTACCACACCACCACCGTCAACATCTCCACCTCACCATCAGTATCACCATCACCATCATCACCACACACCACCACCATCATCATTACATCTCCACCTCACAATCAGTATCGCCATCACAACTATTGCTATTATCTCCGTCCTCATCACCGTCACCATACCACCATCACCATGCCATCAACATCACCGCATCATGTGTTGAACCCTCAGGCCCATTCACTTTTCTTCTGTCCCATCAACCCAGAGATTTCTGGCTACTATCCCACACGAAGCTCCCTGTCACTCCTGGTCCCATCACACATCGTCTGAGAAAATGATTCTTAGACGATTAACTGGACTGAGAAGAGTCACATAATTCCAGCTTGTTTGCCAATTTTTCTCCATGTCAATAAATGACACTGAGTCAGTGTTCTCAGCTTCCCTGTGAGATCACGCCCTGCTTTTCATAGTCCAAGGCAAAGGGGGTGTTGAGGCTGAAGGGCTCATCCAGGTTGGCCCCTCCATCCCCGTCTTGGGCATTCAGGGAATCTCACTGCTGGGGACTTGCCTTGGGCCTCTTGCAGCAGGGCTTCTGTCCCAGGCCTCCCGCAGCCCTCTGCCCCTACCCAGAAATGCCATCTCTCATTTGGCCATCTGGTGGCAGCATATCTCCACAGACTATGTAAACCTCCTGTTAGCGGTAGCTTTCTCCCTAGGGTCTGCGTGTCTGTAGAGCTCAGAAGACAAGTAGCAGTGACACTGAACAGATTCACTTTCAACAAAGTATTTTGTGAGGGGCGCGGCCTCCAGTCCTGTACTCATTCAAGCAGGGCTTCCCTGCCTGCTGCTGTGGGAGTCAGACCCTTCTGCCATGGCTGAAGTGTTCAGCCAGGGACTGCTCTGGACCGTAAGCCTGGGACAAGTTTCTTCCAGGTTCGGTAATCACCAGATAGAGTGCAAGTTTTCTAAACCCAAGCCAATGGGCTAAGTCTAGTCAAAGTGCGGAAGGGACGGTACATTATTTCTTGGCTGTTCCACATCAGCAAAGCAGGGACAAGTTACAAAACTCCAGAGAAAGCTGGGCTTGCAAAATTGGAAAGCTGGATTCTCTGTGAAAGTGCTGAGAAGTCCGGGGTGTGTCCATTTGGACAGCAGGGTTTCCTCTGGTAGTTCTGCAATTTTTCTATCTCAGTTTGGCAAAGCAAAACCAGCGGTTTTTCACAAGAGGAAGAAACACAACCATAAAACAAGCACATAGAAGAACGCTCCCTCTCCTTAATCACCAAAAATGCTAATAATGAATCAGGATGATTTCCACCTCTTACATTTGTTAGTATTTCTAAAGTTATACTATTTTAATAGTAGTGCAATGTGGCTGCTCTTGAGGGTGTCATGAGGTGATGCTTTTCTAGTGAGTTTTATATTGTCATACCCTTCTAGAAAACAATTCGTTATTGGCAGCCATAAATATGTGTATATAATTTCTTGGAACTTAGGTTTATGATAATATTATGGAGAAGGCTGGAGAGATGGCTCAGTGGTTCAGAACCCCTACTGCTCTTGCAGAGGACCCAAGTTTGGTTCCTAGCATCTATGTTGGGCGGCTCACAACCACCTGTAACTACAGCTCCACGGGGTGTGATGCCCCTTCTGGGTGCTACATTCATGTCTTCAACCCTCTCCACATACATATACATATAATCGAAAATAAAAATAAAATCTTTTTCTTTCATTGTATGTGTATGAAAGCGTGTTTTGCCTGCGTGCGAGTACACCCATGCATGCAATTCTCAAGGAGGCCAGAAGAGGGCATCAGATCCCCCTGGAACTGGAGTTACAGACTGTTATTAGCTGCCCTGTGAATGCTGAGAACTGAACCCAGGTCCTCTGCAAGTGCAGCCCGCGCTCTGAGCCACTGAGCCATCTCTCCAGCCCAACACCCAGGTTATTTTTATGTGGGTTTTGGGGATCACACCTGAGCTCTCTCACTGTTTTCACAGATAATCTATTTTTCCAGTTTTGCAAGTCTAGCTTGCAAGGTCAGCACTTCTCCAACTGAGCTACCCCGCACACACACACACACACACACACACACACACACACACACACACACCCTTATGTTATAATGGTGAGTGGTGAATAAAAAAGCAAACATGGAAGGACTTGAAACTGCTGTGTTACACAGGTAGTAAATAAAGCATTAAAAGCCTAGAAAAAATATTTAAGAATAGTAGCAATTGTATTTTTCAAACTCTGTATGTTAAGATGACTGGGTTTTGGTTTAAAATGAAAACAAAACATAAACAGACAGCAAAGCCCCAAACACCTCAAAGAAGCCAGGAGGGCCTGGGAACATCACATCTTGTATGTGCACAGTTTCAAGGGCTAAGGAGGGTCAGGAGGGTCTCCTTTGTTATCTGCCCACACAGATGAGCGCTATCACCACTGCTCTGTCATTCTGGAAGTTACCTGGTGAGCATGTGCTGATACTTTCTGTCTGGACCTTTTATCACAGGGACCTTTGGTGTGGGTCTTCTCAAGGAGGCCCAACTTCCCGTGATTGAGAACAAGGTGTGTAACCGTTATGAGTACCTGAACGGCAGAGTCAGATCCACAGAGCTCTGTGCGGGGCATCTGGCTGGTGGCATCGACAGCTGCCAGGTAAGAAAAGACTAGAGACCAGTATGGTCTTGGGCTGGCCTGTCTCTGCCCCCTTGGACATTTCAGTCCCTAAAGTGAGAGGTTGAAAGTCAAGCAGGATTTGACAACCCAAGTTCTGTTTCTCCGGAGAACCCCTGGGGTACCTCGGTGCTAAAACAGGCAGCCCAGGAGCTTCTTTCGGCTTGGGTTACCCATGACAGTCAGGGCATAGCCAGTACCATAATGTTCACAGACCACACGCCTCCCTGGACTGTGCTGGTGGACAGAGACTTTTTCAGTTGGGACGGGGGCTGAGGGCGCTGGATGGAGGCCAACTATACTTCAGTGAACCCGTGTCCAAACTGAGAGGTCTCAGGCAGGAGGGGATGAGGACAATATCCATATAGTATTGTTTCCCAGAGAGAAAGAAAGGAGGTTTTGCTAAATGTTCTTTGCTGAGAGCTCGAACATAGCTGGTACTCAAAGGGTATGTTGAGGTCTTGGAAACTCATACAAAGATAACACAAAGACGACATCCTGCTCTGTAAAGCCGCAGCTCGACCCTCACATGAACTTTTCTCTCCTATCTAGGGAGACAGTGGAGGACCTCTGGTTTGCTTCGAGAAGGACAAGTACATTTTACAAGGAGTCACTTCTTGGGGTCTCGGCTGTGCTCAACCCAATAAGCCCGGTGTCTATGTTCGTGTTTCGAGGTTTGTTAATTGGATTGAAGAAATAATGAAAAAGCAATAATTGTACGGGAGGCAGAACAAAGTACTCACTCACCAGAAAGCTGGAACATGGGGAGGGATTCAGACTGTTTGGAGATAATTGACAGTAATCAAGCCAAGACACTGTACTTAGCCCCCATCTCCTGCCAACCTCAGCCTTTTTTGTATTATTGTGGACAAATGTTTCCTGTCCATGGACTGCTCAATTTTATGACAATAGACCAACATGCCTATGACATTTATTAAAAATAAAAACTATACTTACTTTGATTTGAATTATTTTTTAGGGGGGGGTCTTCAATATTTTCATGTTCTTCATTGACCATAACAATTTTTAAAGATTTTAAACTTTTTCGTGTGTGTGTGTGTGTGTGTGTGTGTGTGTGTGTGTATGTGTGTGTGTGGTGTTTTGCCTGCATGTATAAAGGTGTAAGCACTGACCCATCTCTCCAGCCCCCAGATTTTATATTTATTATTTATGTGTACATTTCTCTGTGTGTGTGCCATGTGCATGTGGATACCCTCAGACGCTGGAAGAGGGCACTGGAACCTCTGGAGCTGGAATTACAGGTGGTTGTGAGCTGTCTCACCCTACATGGGTGTTGGGAACCAATCTGTTCTTCTGGAAGAGCAGCAGGTGACCTTCACCACCGAACTGTTTCTCCAATCCACACCCTGCCAATTTTAAAGCATTTGACTGAAGTGGTTCAGTTTGTTTTCCTAGAGACCAGCTACAGACAGAACTAAGCAGACTGAGATCACCAAGAAAACAACTGGAAGTCTTAATAAGTCAATCGTACCTTGACCTCATTGGCTAAAGACAGCCTGACACACACCTTCAATATCTCCCTTTCTGGCACTGAGTTGAATGTTTTCAAAGCTACCACATGTATGGGGAGTCAGGAGAATGAATTCTATTCTTGGGAATAAAATCTGTTACTGACAACTTGGCATTAGCCGGGCTTCAGGGATGTGGAGCAGAAAGTTGTATGCTGTGGGGGCACAGACCAGGCACTGGAAATCTAAAAGGAGACCAGCTGAGAGCCTGAAGGTTATTGTGGTCCCATCTGAGCACAGGGATGGTGCCAGAGCTGGTGAAGGAACAGCAAACGGATGCTGAACAATGCTGTTTCCCGCCGCTTCTCATCTCAGCATGGAAACAGTACCCAACACGCAGTTACCTGGAATGGTGTTTCTGCCACACATGTTCCAAAGGAAGAGAAAGGATACATTTTTTTGGAAACAATTTTTTTATTGTTTTGAAACAAAAATAGCAAATCAAAATACAATCCAAAGGTGATGGAATAACAACAGGCGTGTTATAGCAAAGAAATACAAAGAAAATCACAGCACACGTCTGCATACGAAGTGGGTGTGGTATCAAATCCCCAAAGCTGTGCTTTCTCCACGGACAGAGTGCGCACCTCAGTTCTGTTGAGCTTTCAGAATAGAAAAGTTTATTTTACAGTCGGCACACACATGCATACTATCAGAAACATGTGAATTCTCCATGTTCCTGTTTTCTTCTTCATCAGCAAGGGTTCCTTTTAGTACCAATTTCGCCTGTCCACACAGAGTTTTAAGCTAAAACAATTCAGCATAAGATAAATACCGAATCAGTGACTGTAACAAGAACACCACACCGAGTAGAACACTATGTTTGTGTTTAAGTCCCACACTTCAAAAGTCTGGATGAAAAAAGAAAGATCAAGTCCCTTATTAGTATCTTTTAAGTCACTTATAAAGCTGCTGCTAATTTTTTTAAGCATAGATATAACTGACTTTCCCTTTAAATGAAACTAAGGATTTTTTTTCCTCCCAAGACAAGCCGAAGTGCAAGATGGAATAAGAACTCTCTGTATTTTTGACTCTTGACCACAGGCACCATTGGAACTGAATTCACAAATGCAACATCAATATCCCTTTACTTTTAAAATTCTAAGGCCCAGGAAATTATAACCCATGTTTTCTTTTCAGTAAAGAATCTGTGACTTCCGGGCTTCACTGAAGGATCACACAAAATATTCTGAATGATCGATCTCAGGACCCCAACGTGATTTTATAAACAGTATAGAGAGACTCTCAATTGTGCTGCAGACTTGTTTTTATTTAGAAAACTCTGCCTAACCCAGATCCTGGAACCCCATAGGCTGCAGAGGAGGTGGAGAGACAGACGGGACACCAGACATGTCTGCTTTGTGAACACGCGTGTGCGGAGCTCGAGGGAGGCAGAAATAGCAGGATACCCAAACCTCTATTCTCAGACTGCACAACACTTAGCTCACTGCTCTGTCCTTGATCAGATCTGCTGAGCACATTTCTGTATACTTGCCTCGATCCTTGGTTTGCACACCTCGCATGCTAGCTGGGAACTGGGCAGGGGCTCTCTCGTCTCCTTTTAACCCAATGGAACAGAGACTTGCTCCCAGTGGGAGAAAACCCGGGCAGGGGCTGTGTGCCTAGAGGTTCTTTGCTAAGACAGCTGAAGATGAGGCGTTCCCAGAAACAGGTAGCATGATACACTGAACTCATTCTTCATCATATAAAATACTCCAGTGTCTTTAAAGATGTGCTCAGAAGGGCGCCACCTAGAGGAGCAGAAGTACACTGCACAGGTATAGTCCCACCAGGCTAGCCTCTCCTGGAGCTTGCCCACACAGCTACTTCTTCCAGGTGATGCAAGGGCCTCAGACGTTAGAGCTGGAAACTTGAATTTTCTTTTTCCTCCCACACTGGTGAGCATGTGAACTGATAAGACAAAGGAGAACAGATAAAGTTCTCATGAAAGATTATGCAATGACTCAGGAGAAAGTCTTCTTGTTACTCCTTATAACCACAGCTTGTTTTGACTGATTACACTCTCGCATAAATGTTCCTAACATTCTCGATGCAAAGGTAACTAAGTAAATTGCTCTAGATTTACTTTGCACCTGCTTTCAGATGCTACATTACCTGACATTCTAACACATAAGTTTCCTATGGATTTTTAGTAAATAACATACGGAAACGTGCTGTTGATGTGAACAGAAGACAGCAGACAGGGTTTACTAGTCTGGCCAGTTTTAGAAGGGAGTGTGCTAAGAGGATTCAGTAATGTGGCACTAAGTGGTTTTGGTTCACAGTAAATAAACATGAACCACATGTGCTTAATTTGTAGAACTGCAAATCGTACTTCTGCTGTGCTATTCTTCAAAGGTTAGGGACGACATGTAATCAATTTACCCTAGTTTCTATTATGAAAAGTTATAGCATGAAAAAGTGAGAGTTTTGCCTAATTGAAATTTTGGTTGGTGTGATTCTTCATATATATTTATATGTCTGTTGGATATTGATTTTCCCTGCATGCCTTTTAGATCCTTCCACCCCTAAAAATGGCTCTCTCTCATCCAGTACTTTAACCTGTTGGGAGAAGAGTCCAGAACTCCAATGAATCCTTGTGACTCCTCTCCTCACCCCTGACTCTGTCTGTGGGGTCAGGAATAAGTGCTTAGCTCTGTCAAGAAATGAGCAGTTGAAAGTGGGAGGGTGACGGGGAGGAAGGAGGCCTCTGGCTAGAGCCCACCCACTGGTGAGGCAGTCAATAGGATGGTGGCAGCCTGGAAACCCCAGGTTAGCATTCACAGGCTTCAACATCAACAGTCAGTCAGCACTGAACCCTTCTCACTTCCCACCTATAACACTGGGCTGAGTGAGGGGCACATGACCTCCTGAGAAATCCCGTATTGTGTGGATCTTTTAAGATAGTCAAGTTTCCTCCCTCATCGTGTCCACTTGTGTCACCTAACCTCATGCGAACATTCTCCTTTTCTCTGGTCTTCTAGCATGGCTACGATTGGAGAAATAGGACCAGGCAGCCACCCCATACGCTGACTCAGAGACTGTACCCCAATACCAGCCAAATGATTGCCTGCAATAATACAATCATAGAATTTCTCCTTTGGGGATGGAGCAAAGCCCTTCCTACCTGGCAGAAAGTTCAGGAGAACTTCACATAGTTAAAATAACTTTAATCTGTTTTTAAAATCAGCTTGGTTTTGTTTACAAAGTGGTGGTAAGAAAAATTCCCATCGATCCAAACTTCAGGTGGCTCTGCTCTAGGGTGGAGGAAGGAAAAGCTTTGAGTGGGGAATAAACCACTGCCTGACAGTTTCCTGCCAAACAAGCCTAGGAATCAGCACAAGTCACTTGTGAGGGAAACACTCCCCTCTTCTCTGGCCCATCCCATCAATAAGGAACCAATGGAAAATGACTGGGGCTTTGTTTTGAGTGCACAGTAGACCTTTCTTAGGAAAGTTTTTCTATTGGTGAATCAATCAGTATTTCAAAATATCATCAGAAAACGGGACAAGGAGATCATAGTATAAGTTAGCTTAACCTCACAAAGTTTTCAAGGTCTGATATATTTACTTACAAGACCTTTACAATGGTTGCCCCCGTCTGCAGAGCGTGAGGGCATTTGTCTGAAAGCAGGTCCTGTGAAGAGCTTTTCACTCCTCTAAGAATAAGTCACAAATAGGGTGGAGAACAAAACAGAACCCCACACAGCTGTCAGTGTGCACGGAACAGCATGAGCAGCAATCTAAGCATCTACAGGCTGTGCAACCATTCTGATTTCCTAGTGAGGGCAAAAATGTCTTTCTCAAAATTGTTCTGAGTATTCAATGAAGGAACATATGTAAAACTATGGATCACATACATATTTTAAAAATAGCAACTTCCACATTTTTCTCAGTCTAGAAGTGAAGTGGAGATAACTAAAATCCAGTCTTTTTTATTTAACAAATATTTTTGATAATTTTTTTAGAGATCCACCCTTGATTCCTCCCTCAGTAAGGTTATTACTTTTAAGAGTTTATTTTGAAATTCTGTATTTTTAGCACTATTTTAATTAAACAATACCATACTACGCAATCTAACTGAAAACGATCAACACTATAGAAGTGTGTAGATATAAAGAGGCTGAACCCCATCCCATCTGTGTCCTTCACCAGGGAGGCTACTGACACCTCTAAACAATCATTCTCATGTCTTATTGTAAAAAGGAATTGTAAAATTGAAAATTTTTAAGAAAAATGGAAAAACATGTAATTTTTGTTGCTGTAGATCTTTAAATTTACATACTGATTGGACAGTAATCAACATAACAAGAAAATGACTTGGGTACCCCTCCAAAACGCTCTCCTGTTGTCTATCTACTGATCTACTTACTAATTACCTATGTATCTATTATCTCTCTTTACATCTAATCTCTACACATCTGTTTATTAATCACCTTGTGGTGGTTTGAATGAGACTGTCCTCCATAGGCTCCAAATATTTGGACATTTTGTCCCCAGTTGGTGGTGCTGTTTTGGGAGGTCTTAAAGTTGTGGCCGTGCTGGAGGGAGCATGTCACTGGGGGCGGGCTCAGAGAGTTCCTAAGCCTTGCTGGATCCCTAGTCACTCTGCTTCCTGTGCCTGCTTGAAGATGTGAGAGCTTAGCTTCTGTTCCTCCTCCAGCCACCTCTGCCACATGCCTCCCCACCACAATGGACCCTAGGAACTGTAAGCCAAATAAGCTTTTCCTTCTATAAGCTGCTTTGGTCACTGTTTCTATCACAGCAACAGAAAAGTAACTAATACATACCTGTAGCTATTATCTTTATATTTATGATCTATTATCTTTGTGTCTATTATCCATCTCGATACATATTTACACATGTGCTCATTGATCATCTGTATATCTATTATCTTTATATCTATCATCTACCTATCTATCTTATCTTTACACATATTTGTTTATCACCCATGTAACAACTGTTTTACCTTATTGATCTACTTATCTTTGTACATATCTAACTACTTATCTGTGTATCTAGTATCTCATCTTTATTTTTTTTAATTTTATTTATTATTTTTATTTTATGCAGAAGAGACTGTTGGATCCCCTGGGACTGGAGTTACAGACAGTTGTTAGCTGCCATGTGGGTGCTGGGATTTGAACCCGGGTCTTCCGCAAGAACAACCAGTGTTCTTAACCACTGAGACATCTCTCCAGCCCCAGTATCTCATCTTTAAATCTATCATAAAGTACCTATATCTATCTTATCTTTACACGTATTTATTGTCTATTATCTATGTATCTATTTCCTGTCTTACTTATATCTACCTATCAATCATCCATCTGTCTTTCATCTGGTACATATGTTACCATGTAGCTATAAAGAGAGCTTAATTTCTATTTTATGTGTATGAGTGTATTGCCTGCATATAGGTAGGTGCACCCATGTCATGCAATGCCCATGGAGGTCGAAGAGGGCACTGGATTTCCTGGAACTGGAGTTACGATGGTTGTTAGCTGCCATGTGGGTGCTAGGAATCCAACCTGGGTCCTCTGTCAGAGCAGCCAGTGCTCTTAACCACTGAGCCATCTCTCCAGCCCCTACTACTGGCTTATTTTTAATGAATTCTATAACTCATTGCTCACATTGTAACAGATCTTGAGGCTCTGTCATTCCATGTAGTCAGGTCCGCTCCCTTCTTCTCTAAGGGTGGCCACATTCCGAGGTACTACCATCTTTCCATCAGTCCCCATTGGCGCACGTGTAGGTATGTTATGTCAGTCTGGCTCACCATCTTTCCATCAGTCCCCATTGGCGCACGTGTAGGTATGTTATGTCAGTCTGGCTCACCATCAGTCCCTGTTTAGATCACTTCTAAGTTTCAACACCTTACTTGGAAATGTTTCCCAGCCACATTTTTAAAAATAACCCACATTCTTTTTATAGCTTTGGGCTCCTGAACATTAACCTTTTAAATCTACTTTGAATATTTTTGCTTAAGATATTAAACGAACACTTAATGTCACTTTTTTCCCTATGGATAATCAACTTGCCCCATGGCTCAAAAGGCTGCTTTCATTTAGGAAGTGTTGAATTTCATACAATACCTGCCCAGCTTTTCTACATCATCCACTGTCTCTGGCAAGACAAGACCCTTGGTTTCAGGCAAAAGCATCACGAGTCCACCGCAGACAGATGCCAGTATCCCTGCAGAAAGGAGGAAGAAGAGGCATTAGTGTCAAGAACACACAGGCTGACCCCTCCCACTCCCAGACCCACTCACTGACTTCCACTGCCTTCAACAACAGCAGTCCCGGATTCACGCTAACCAGCTAGTCCAGCCCTAGAAAGTTCTGCATCTTCCCAAGCCCTGCACAGCTCATGGGCCCTGTGCTTCACTTACATCTGTTCGCTCACTCATTTGACAACTAGTCAGGCATCATAGTGATAGGGACACACACTGAGAATTTCACAGAACACTGACTTCACTGTTGTGGGAACATCATGGAGTGGACGCGGGAACCCTAAGACAGTTGCGACGTCAATAGGCAATACAGTCTTCTGGGCCACCACCCTGTGTTTGGGGGAATGCCTCCCTGCAGTGGTTAATCCACTCTCTGTGGCATCTTTAGCCTACTGTCAGAAGCATTCAAGCACACCAACTCTCTTCTTCCATGTGCTTAACCCCACGTCACCCCAGGTTATAACCTCCCTTTGCTGTTCTTAAAGAACATCCTCTCCTGTCTCTTCCCCATCTTCATGGACTAGTGATTTGCTGATAAATGTTTAACAACTGGCTCTGGAAAATAAAGACTTGACCATTTCCATATTGGATATGCTCCCATGTGCACATTTCCTGCCACTAACATGACCTCACTGTACTGGAAAGAGAGAGGCGATAGCCCCCATTCTACAGTGTATCCACCAGAGAATACAGTACATTAATCTCTAGAACATGTATAATCGAAAATCAATTAGGAACTGCTGAATTCTGAGTACTTATTAACTCTGCTTTTAACGTATTTTATACACCTTCATTTTCAGTGATGATGATATTCATCTGGCTCACAAAACTCTTGAAAACGCCACAGTTGGCTCTGCTGGGCCAGCACGAGCCATTTCAGCCCACTGTCTCCCACCACACTCACGTCAGAGCCCACATTTCATGTCTACTCTGGGTTCTGACCCAGGTCCTCCCTGGGTCCGCTTCAGCCAGATCACTAACAGGCTGTGCTGCCAGATCAATGGCACCAACAGGGGCCTTAGTGGCCCACCTGGTCTTACAGCAGCCTTCCTCCTCTGCCCTGCCCTTTCCTCCTGATTCCCCTCTTCTCCCTGCATACTACTCCAGCTTGTCAAGTCCCATTTTATGATCAATCACTCCCCTAGACTCCCTAGAGATCCACATTCAGATGCCTTGGATCCCCAGGGATGTAGCTCCAGATGGTGTCACCATTTTGAGAACATGGAACGGATGCCTCCCTCCTTGGCTCAGAACATCAAGCCTCCTGGCTCCTGAGTTTTGACTTGGATCCTTACAGGTGCTCCTCATGCCCACAGTCTCCTGCAGTCCAGTGCCCATGCCTGCCCTCCATCTCTGTCTCCAATTTCGCAGCTCCACTGGCTCTGTCGCCCGTCCTTCTTGCCCACCTAACTCCTGATGTGTTTCTTGAGTCTTTCCATTCCTTTCCATTCTCAGTGCTGTTAATGGCCTCATTCGGCCAAGCCACCAGGTCCACTTACAGTTTCTAACAGCCCTTTAACCCCACAGGCACTGCCTTGTTCCAGTTCATTTTTGCATCTGCCCTCAGTCCTGTCACTAAGGCGCAGATCCAGGTGTGTTGGCCCATGCTCAGCTCTGTAACTGTATCTCCCTGCCTCTGCCACTGGGTGAAGTACAGAAGATCCTTCATTCTGAGCTGTCCCACCTTCCCTGGGTGAGTGGCATTTCTCCTCCTTGACACCTGGACATTCCTCTTGCCTGAAGCCTTCCCACTGCCTGGAGCACAGCCCACATCTCTCTCTCCTGGGGAATTTCTTCTCATCTTCAGATCTCAACACACACTTTGCATCCTCCTTCTGTCCCATACTAGGCATCTCTACAATGTGGCATTTCCAAAAATCTCAGCATTTATCATACTCTTTGTCACCAGAGTTTTAGGTACTTGGCTCGGGAGGGAAGGACCCCATCCCAGCCCTTGGCCAGCTTGGGCATCATTTCATCATTTATCTGCAGACCAAGGTAGAAGCTCAGATGCCAGGGCACCATGGAGACCCACAGACTCTCCTAGTGAGACAATGGCACCTGCTTGCCCTTTCATGTCAGCCACAGAATTAACAGACTTGATTTTAACCCAGGACCTAACAAAGGAGGCTGACAGGTGTTGACTGTTCATCACCACCCTTCTCACCAGCCTTTAATGTGAAGTGACTTTAAGTCATTTAGTATTTCAGATTTAATTATAGCCGGATTGGCTCCTAATAACTGAAACAGTCATAGAAAGATGAAATAAACATCATTAATAGAAAACCTAGTGGTCACTGCAGGTTCTGTCAGTGCAGGGAAAAGTGGAAAGCCTGGAGACCAGCATGTTAATCACGTGGGTAGAGGCCGCCACACAGGCATGGAGACCTACGTTTCATCTCCAGGACCCACGTAAAAGGCCAGGTGTGGCAATGCACATACAATCCTAGTGCTGGAGAGGAGGAGACCTTGCTTCACAAAATAAGGTGGACAGCTCTCAAGAAACAACACCTGAGGTTGACCTCCAGCCTCCACAAGCACATGCACACACATGTGGACCCACATATGCACACTCACATACGCTCCCTCCTGACACAACTGAATTCTTACCAAAGATGATCAGAGGTAGTTCCAGCCACACGGCTGCTAGTCGGAAGAGCAGAAATGGGGCTATGATACCCCCAAAGTCACACAAGCCCGAGCAGAGGGAGACTCCGAAGTTCCTACAGATTGAAAGGCAGCTTCGATGAAAAGTATTCAAACAAATTCAAGATAACGAATGTACCCAAACATACTAAATTACAGAGATTGTGGCAGTTGCTTCCCATTCTCCACCAATTCAGCTTTAAAAACAATTACTGCCTTGTGCTCTAACCAAAGCATTTCTTTTCTGCCTGTTTTGCTGTGAGGCTAATGAGGGATCTCTAGTACTGATTTTAAAAAAAGGCATTCCAGGGCTGGAGAGATGGCTCAGAGGTTAACAACACTGGTTGTTCTTGCAGAAGACCCAGGTTCAATTCCTAGCACCCACATGGCAGGTAACAACTGTCTGTAACTCCAGTTCCAGGGGATCTGACAGACAACCTCTTCTGGCCTCCACGGGCTTTGTACTATAGGGGTGCACCTACCTACATGCAGGCAGCACACTCATACACATAAAATAAAAATAATAAAATTTTTTTTTAAAAAAAAGATTCCTCCAGTGGTCTTGAGGAATGCCCACAAACACAGTGCTAACACAATGTGAGTTCATAACACAGACCACGGCACAAGTCATGAAAAGTCAAGACTGCAAAGAACAGCCAACACAAGGCATTCCTCCAGGGCTGGGGAGATGACTCAACAGTTTGATCCTCAGCATCCACGTCACGGCTAACAACCATCCGTAACTCCAGTTCCAGGGGATCTGACGCCTTCTTCTGGCCTCCATGGGCATTGCATGACATGAATGTACTTAACACATATCCAGGCAATATACACTCATTAAATAAAGATAATAAATATTTTTAAAATAATAATAAATAAAATATTTTAAAAGACAATTCCTTCATCAGCAGCTTTCACGCCACCTTGGTAACCAAAAGGTATGTATTTCGTAGGAGCATTTCACCAGCCAGGGGAGACAATGTGCACCGAATACGCACACTGTTGCATGCTATCCTTCAGTAACTGGCTGTTCACAAATGTCTCACACGCAACGAGGCCTCGAACCAGGGCTGTGCTGGTGAATGCAGTCCTGACTCACAGTATCTAAGCACGCTGACAGGCTTTCTATTTCAGCACCTTTCACAAATCACAGCTCTGTCTGAAGACTTTGTCCCTACCACAAAAAGTAGCAACCAGCAAGTTGCTGCGACTAAAAGCCTGTGACTCTAGAGGCTGAACGATACCCAGGCTAATATGTCATCAAGCTTTTGGGAACATCTGGCTACAGAGTAACTTACAAGAAACCACGACATGTATGTCAGAATTACCGTAATGTTGTTGGGTACAACTCTGAATTTACCAGATAAACTATTTCAAAGGCCATGGTTATCCCTAGTCTTCCCAGGGTAGCAACTGTGGTCCTCAGCCACGGTATCCCTGCAAACAGAATGTTTAGAAGGGGAAAGTTATGGGTCTGATCGCAACAACATTTTACAAAACAACATAAATCCCCCCGCCTTAATTCTTTGCAAATTTTAAGCCCAAGTGATAGAAATTTATATTATTTTAGACACAATTCAATAACAACCAGAATGACAGTGAATAGTTAGTGTGCTAAGATGCTTTTCTGAGTGAGGATAGATTGCTGGAATGTAGTTCAAGAATCATTTGCTGAACAGCCTGTGATGATGCCCCAGGCATCACTCTCCTAGACAGCCCAAGCCACTGGCCTTGGAAGTCTGCAGTTGTCCCCTTGAAAACCATCAAAATAGTCAGGCGTCCACGTCTCAGTTCTGCAGACAGAAAACTACTCTCCTGAGCTGCCCTTGGTTTCCAGAGAGAAGCAAAGCTCTGAGGACCTTGATCCTGTGTTGTGTAGACAAGGGGCTGAACGAGAACTGTATCTCCTGTTCAGAGCACAGCTAGCGATGCCCAGCATGTCTGGATACAGATGCTACTCGGCACCAAATTGCTCTCCTGGCTTCTAGAACACTGCACCTTCCTGAATGTATAATTAATTCACTAATTATTATTTTGTGGTGCTGAGGATTGAACTTCATGTATGGCAGGCAAGTGTTCACTACTGAGTTATGTGCCAGCCTTAGTTTTAGAGACAGGATCAAGCCCATGCTGGTCCTGAACTCACAACTGTGTGAGCTTCCTGAGTGTGGGATTCTGGGCACATGTAACCACACGTGGCATAATCTCTCTAAAGTAGAAAAGTAGATGCGAATGAAGACGAAGGAAGAAAATAAAGCTCACTAGAGTTATGCGTGAACTCTCCGGAGACTATTCCACAAATTAAAACAAAACAACAACCCTGTAAGCAGTCTTGCCAGGAAGGCAGGCAGAGACAGACAGTCCAAGAGCGCAGATCATTGCTGGGAAGCTCTAGTTTACTGTGATTTAGTTGCAAGCTGATGAGGACATCCTGGTGTGCCTGACGTCTTCCCAGACGGAACACCTGCACCTGTCACGCAGTAGTTACACTGGAGAGTGAGGCAGATCAGAGTTGTGCTCATGCACTGAGCTGCCATCTGCCTTGGCACAGAACAGCTGTAAACATGTGCTTTACTTAGGCTTTGCTTTTTCATGACAGCTAGAAGGCGACTAGGAAATGTATCCCCCCTCCCCCCGCCCTTCCATGAGCAGGTGCTGCTGGGGTTGGAAAGCCGGTGCTCTCCCAGATGCCCTGAGTCATGGCCTGATGGGACGATCTCCATGCCTTGGTGGCCATGAGAAGGCTGTCTGCCTCCATGGAAATCAGGTTAGGTGCTTTAAGCAGAGGTTTCTTTTCACTGTATCAAGATTGCTGTATAAGTGAGTCCTATCAACAAGATCAACACCTATTTAGGCTTACAACTGAGGCTTGAGCTGTTCAACAGAAATTGAACATTAAATTGAAAATTAAATCTGGAGAAACCAAATTAAAACTCATACGTGTATTTCTCCCCCACTCTATCTCTCCCCTTCCCCCCATACACATCATCATTATCATCATCATTAAAAATACATATGGTTAAGATAAATAACCATTCAATAAAACAGAAAGTGCTATCAGGTTGGTACCTTTGTGGGAGACTGGTCCGTCCTACAAGCTGACCTTAGTCTAAAGACTTTCAATTCTGCCAAGCAGTCCACTGGGAAAGAGATTTTTGTTGAAATAAAAATAATAATAAAAAAGAAGTCCCAAAGGCACTGTGCTGTTCATCAACTGAAGTGTGAAAATAATTCATTAATAGGTGAAAATTGTGTGTGGAAGCGAAACCTTTTGATGATTCTGGCAACACCCTTAACTGACTCCAGGGTGGCAACAGACATCTTTTGATTGCAACGACAAAACACCCAAGCAAAACAAAAACCGTTAAGGGCTGAGGATGTAGCTCACCTGTTTGCCCAGTATGCACAAAGCCCTGGGTTCTAGCCCCAACACTGTATAAACTGGGCATGGTGGCATGCGTTCCAGCACTCAGAAGGTAGAGGCAGGAAAATCAGAAATTTGAGGTCATCCTCAGCTACATAGCAAGTTTGAGATCAGCCCAGGTTACTTGAAACCCTGTTAACTCTGTGTCTGTCTCTGTCTTTGCCATATGAAAAATGATCAATAAAGTTAAAGTCATTTCATCTTCCATATTTATATGAGGAAACAGAAAAATTATCTTCTCTCATAGTGAGGACTTGGTCAGAGTACTGGAAGCTGTTGTAGCTCATTCTTTGAATAGAAGATGCAGCATTTAAAAATATGTAACTCAATCTTTTCAGAAGGTACTATCTGCTCCGAGTTCGGAAATAAAGTTTGGCAAAAAATCCTAAGAAAGATGTGTAAATCAGGATACAGGATTTACTTGTCACCCAGAGAGAAATGAAAGTAAGAGATCACCTTTTCACTTTAGAAGGAATGTACCCGAACTGCTAGGTTTGTAGTCCCACTAAGTAAACATTGATTGGTGATATGTCAGATGGGTGTGGGTAAAGAAAGCTCCTTAATCTCCAGATGTTAGAGTTCAGACATTTGCTCCCCAGACAGTAAATCGTAGATGCAGAGAGAGCCAGAAACACTACATCTTTTTCCAGAACTTCATTTTCAAACCATAAAAAGGAGAGATAATCAGCTAACCATTTGCACCGAGACTTTTCCAGACCTCTCCAAAAGGTTCATGGACATTATGGGTGTGTGTGTGGTGGGGTGAGGGTGAAGTCAAATGGGACCGTGAGGAAAAGCCTTTCTAATGCTCATTCCACAGTCCCTGGAGTAAAGGCCAAAGCCCTTTAAATTTTTCCCTTCCTCCCTTTCCTCTCTCTCACTCCCCTCTTCCTTCACTTCCTCCTCCTCCTCTTCCTTCTCTTCCTCCTCCTCTTCCTCCTCCTCTTCTTCCCCCACCCTTTTCTCTCTCTAACTGAAAAGGAAAACTGAAATTATTAAAGAAGAAATCTAAAATTAATTTCTATTGAGAAAAACCCAGAGTAGGTAACTTGAGAAACCAACCCTCTTGCAGGCTTAAAACAGATTCCAGTTTACCCTAAATAACAAGTCTTCTCGTTTGCTTGAGAAAACAAGTCAATGTTTAACTTTTGCTTCTGCTTCCATAAACATAAACATGCTTCCCCACTTGGAATTCATTCTATGGGTCATAAAAGGATGGGGGGCCATAGGCTGGAGACCCATACATGGTTCACTGTCAAGTAACTGAAAAGGCCCCCATGACCCCAACACCCACCAATGCCAGAGTGGGTCTGAAATGACACTAGACTGTCTATATATAGCAGGAAAAGACTGCTGCCTACCACCGGCTCTGGTGATACCTTCCCTGGCCCTGATGCCTGCGGAGTCAGGAAGGGAATCAAGCTGTAACTTCCCACCGTGAATGAAAATTCCCAGAAAGAACCTGTGTCTTGAAACCAAACTTTCTGCAAGACTGATCAACTGATTAAAATTTCAGTGACTGTGGAGGGTTTGAAGTGTTGCAGGTCTAGAGCCTAATTAACATTTATCTTGGACCATCTGTAGTCCCTAAATAGCCACTCCTTCCCCACCTCTGTTTCTGATTTAATATCCTGTACCTAACAAACAAAAATCTTTTAGAATGTATTAACTTAGCAGACCACCAGCTTCTACCAACCAAAAAGCTGAACGCAATCAGAGAGCATGTGAGGCCTAGGGCTGAGATTTCTGTTTTGCTGTAACTGCCTACTTAATGTTTCCACCAACATATAAAAAAATGTCATGATTAGTACTTTTTTTTGGTCTCTTACTAGAAAAACTTCATGAGACTGTTATTATGGTGGAACATGGAATTTGGAGTAATCTGAATCTGTGTTCCTGGGCCATGGTCACTGATATTTAGCTCCAGGATAAACTATCTGTGGTGGGTTTGAATGAGAGTGTCCCCCATAGGCTCCAAGTATTTGGACATTTTGTCCTGGGTTGGTGGCGCTGTTTTGGAGGTTTTAGGAGATGTGGCCATGGCAATGTCACTGGGGGCGGTCTTAGAGAGTTCTAAGTCTTACCAGATTTGTAGTCTCTCTCTGCTTCCTGTGCCTGCTTAGAGCTGTGATCTCTCAGCTTCCCGCTCGGGCCACCTCTGCTGCCACGCCTCCCCCAACCATGATGGACCCTTACCTCCGGAACCGGAACCTCAAATAAACTCTTCCTTCTATAAGTTGCCTCAGTCATGGCATCTTATCACAGCAGCAGACAAATGACTAACACACTATCTCTTATCCCCTCTGAGGTAAGAGTTGTGCTTTCCCATGGACACCACTTTGTTTCCAGGTGTGAAAACCTGGGTTCCTGACACAGTTCTTCCTATTGCAAAACAATTCTATTCATTCATCACAGTGAGTTGTGACAGTATTAAAAGGACTGCATTCCTTAACAGGCTATGAGCCACTTGAAGCCATGAAGACTCAGGTCTTCCTTCTGTCCTTAATCTTGGGTCCAGCATGGTATTTGCAGTCTGGCAGACGCTTAGGGGGTATGCTAAACACCAGGGCTCTATCACAGCAAAAGTCAGAGAAAGGTGACTAAAAGTAGTCACATTACTGTGAGCTAGAGCTAGACCTTTATTTCATCAACAAATGAACCGAACATTTCAAAAAAGAAAAATCTGTAGGACTGATGACTTCAGTCTTTACATTGATGATGCAGATAACAGAATGACATCACACAGGCTCGCCTGGTGCCAAGCTTGACAGAATGGCACAGTTCATAAAGACAAGTGACCACCTCCCTCCTCTGCCATATGCAATCTAATGTTTTTTCAAGTTCTTTGGGAGCTGTTGAAGGAAAATTACCTTCTGGTAAGAACGCAGTCACCAGGCATGCCACCCCTGCCACGATATTGCTTGCTGCAAAGGGGAGGCGTCGTCCAATTCGCTCAATGGTCAGAAGGATCAAGAGAGCTCCCGGCAGCTCCACGACCCCCGAGATGAAGAAGTCTATGTAGAGGTTGCCTCCAGTGATTCCCAGGCGCATGACAAGTCCTTGGTAGACCACAGCGCTCGTGAACCTGCAGTGACATCAGCAGACACCAGAGAAGCCCAGTCAGAGAGAGCAGAGCCCGTGACCGAGAGAAAGGACGAAATGGGCACTGGACACAAGCTTTGAAATCCAGTCAAACTTACCAGGCAAACATAAGTATAAGTGTGCATTTCCTCATCTGTGGAGTTCTCACAAGATCTAAAAAGGACGGATTGCTAACTTCCTCATCTGTAACAGTGAGCTATACAAGAAAAGGAGATTTCAGTAGCAATATGTAGCACAACACACCTACACAGAATCAATTCGTCATTAACCAGATTCAAAGGTAAAGAGTTAAAGTGACCTTCCCGAATTTCCCAGATTCTTCACATCTTAAAGCCCAAGAATGAAGAACCTGCCTTTGAGCATTTTGAACAGGTCAGATCCACAAAGATGCAGTGAACTCAGTTAAGCATCTGAGGGTAATCCCAGTACTTACGCTAAATTGCTCTGTGTAAACCAGGAAAAAATTGTGAAATAAAGTAAAATACATGCATATGTTTATTAAGTTGGAGGGAAAATGAGGAAAAAAAGAGATAAACCTGTGAGATCCAACTATACATTTCTATGTGTAAAATCCTCAAATCTTACTTTTAATAAATGAAATCGTAAATCCAAGCACAAGCGCTGCAGGTATTATTTTCCTTTTATCTGTGTATTGCAACAATCTAACGTCTTTTTGATCCAGGAAAATTCAACTAATCTCTATTTGGCGATTTAAGAAGTTGGAATCCCATTCAATTCAGTTTGATTCAATTCAGTTGCTGGCCTACTGTGTGCAATGCACTGTAAAGGACAGAAGGAGAAAAGCAAAGCCTAAAACCTCAAGCTGCTTCCAGTCCAGTGGCTCAGGCAGCCCAGTGAAGTTCCCTGCTGTGACCACCTTACCACAAATCCATGTGTTTCCCAGACTGTTCTCTTCTTGGAGGGTCTTTTGATGTCCTGGGTCCCAACTTCTCCTTCCCTGGGGGATCTTTCCCAACCTGGGATGGAACTGATAACTTCTGGATCTCAGCCTGTACATCCCAGACTTCCATCATGGCTCCAATATAACTGCTTTCTCTCATCTAACTGGTCATCGCTTCCTCCAGGGGCTCTGGAGCTTAGGAGCAGGTGGGCAGGGACCTCAGTGCTTAGTGTTCAAAAACTGTTTGCTCAAGATGGAATGCTGAAGTAAGAGGTCAGGTGCCCTGGCTCGTCTCTTTCCTCAGCCCTGCCCTGAGTTCTTGTACTTCTCTTAAGCAAGAGCCCAGATGTGGAAGACAGGACCTCTCATGTCTGTTTACCCAGCTCCAGCTCTGACTCATGAGGAGTGGAACTCTAGACATGTTCTCCCCAAGCCATTCAGCTGAAAATGTCTCTACTAGCAGTCACAAGAATTTGACTAGGAGCAAATCTACACTGAGTGTCTTGTCAGCCACTTACTCTAAACGCTAAACTGAATGAATCAGTCAAAGCTGTCTCATGTTTGGCCCAGGAAAACCACAAACACGAAAGAAGACAGAAAAACAATGGCACCTTCTCTTCCTAAATCTTCTTTTTAAAAAAAAGACATTATTTTTACTTTATGTATATGAATGTTTTGCCTGTATGAATGTACGTGCATCCATGTTGTGCAATGCCTGTGGAGGTCAGAAGGGGGTATCGGATTCCCCAGGAACTGGAGCTATGGACAGTTGTTAGTTACCATGTGGGTGCTGGGACTCAAACCTTGGTCCTCTGCAAATGCAGTCAGTGCTCTTAACCGCTGAGCCATCTCTCTAGCCTTCCCCCACCCTTCAATACCAAGTCATGTCCCCTACTCCCCCACCATACCATATTTTGAAATTTCTTAAAACTGGCATGTCCTACCCATGAATTGACAAGAAGAAAAGCAAAAACATTGGTTCAAATAATATGTTTTTAAACTTTGTAATATATAAAGAGAGTTTGTATTTTAAAAATCACCATGTCTAGATTCAATAAAACAGTGTTAGTGCCCCTAACAGTTTTTGGAAGATGCTGACAGATTCCACTATCCATTCTTTCCTTCTGTCTTTGCATAACAGAATCCATGGAATTTTAGCTAAGCACATGGTTAGAGTCTCTTTTCGTAGCTTTTCAACTGTGATGGTCCCCAGATTAAGACCTCAGCAAAGGATGGTGGGGCATGGACATAGGTCCCTCCTTGGGAAATAGCTAATCCTTCATACACTATCCTCTCTTTCCTGAAGGATGAAAGAAAGGGCCAGGAAGCTTCAACCACAACACACACCACAGGTGATAGTAGAGAAACAAGATGGATGGAAGGCGGGTTCTGGAGGCTGACGTGGAACAGGGTCCCCTGGCCAGCGCAGGGCTACTCACCTGTTGGGAAGGCATGTAAGAGAGAAAAACGTTTTCTCTTTATATCACTGTGTTTGTGGGGTCTCCTGTTTTAACAGTAAGATGATCTTGACTCCATCTTATAGGATGCCTGTTAGAACATTCCCTGGTGAACCCTCTGAACTTAAAGGCTCTTCAATTTTCACTGTCAACCTGACACAACTCAGAGTCGCCTGGGAAGAGACTCTTAATGAGGAATTACCCAGATCAGGCTGGCCTGTAGGCACGTCTCTGTGGGGGACTGTCCTGATTATCAACTGAGGCAGGAAGACCCACCTGTATGCATGCAGCACCATTCCATGGGCGGGACTCTGGACAGTCTAAGAGTAGAGACAGCTTGCCAAGTAAGCAAGAAAACAAGGCAGAGATTATTCTCTTTGCTTTTGATCATGGAGACGATGTAACTCACTGCTCGAGTCCTCACTTGACTTCACTGAAATGGACTGTAACTGGAATTGTGAGCCAGATAACCTTCTTCTCTAAGTTGCTTTTTATTTTTGGTGGCACAGGGTCTATTCAGCTGCATGTAGAATTTATTTCATTGATGAAAAGTCTATCTTTATCATCTCATTCATAGTTCTTATGAGTGGGGCAATGGTGGTTTTTGCTTTTCTTTTTCACTATAAATAGCCTCTTAAAATAACACCTAGGTCTGGGGAAGTACCTCCCTTGCTAGTATTTACTATGCAAGGATGAGAGCCGGGGTTCTGTGACCAGCACCCACATAAAAAAGCTGGGTGTGGAGCTTCTGCTTGTGACTCCAGCACTGGGAGGCCTACTCAGGGAGCTGCGGGGCAATGAAAGACCCATCTCAGAAAACAAGGTGGATGGTTCCTGAGGAATAACACCTAAAGACTGACATCTAGCCTCCACAAACATGTGCACACATGTTCACATGTACACACAAAAGCAAAATAAAATGAACCAATATTACTTTTGTAACAAGAAAAAGTAGCTCAAAGTAACTGATTTAAATTATTGGTGCACCTAATTGTTCAGTTGATTTTATTCCCCTTTTCTCTTAAGGCCTCCTGCATGCACGTGCATGCACACATGCATGCACACACACATGCAGGGTCACCCTTTCATGTTCTCAGTGGAGTTGCCTCTGCTTCCAGTTATAGGGGAGGCCTGATTATCTCAGAGCAATACTACCCTCTGGATGGGCATGTATCCCAGTTTGGGCCAATGAGAAATACACATGTAACTGAATTTGAAGAAATAAGAAATGAACATATGTCACAATCCGAGCCAATAAGAGAACAAGCAAGCAAGCATGTGGATCAATTTGGGTCAGGGAAGAAAACATTTCTGGAAAAGTCCTTTACTACTCTTAATTCTGAAGTTCCTGAAGGAATCTTCTCTCTCTCACCTTGAGGGATGAATGAGAAAACAGTGGGCCCAAAGGACCTCAGTAGCCGCCCTCCCACCACAAGAGCCAGTCTTCGAATGAAGCTGGCTGGTCAGGGTGGAGAGAGAGGAGAAGCAGGTTCGGAGAGGCCACAGAACCCTGCTGGGTCTGGAATTCTTCAAAATGAGCCAATGAATGTCCTTTTGTCCAAGCCCATTCAGGTTGGTTTTCTGTTATTTGACGCCAAGAGCAGAATTATCTAAAGAATCCAGTCCGGAACCACCATCCTTTGCTCTAACCACTGACTATCTTAAGCAGGATAATTTTATCATTAAAATAATTGCTACAATATTCCAATTCACTCTAATTCCAATTCACTGTAAACATAGTTTTCATATCAAAAAGTTTGAGATTTGGAACCAAACAGTGACGTAACCCATTTTTCCAAAGCACAAGTTTGACTTGTAGCTCTACAATCATCCATGTAAAGAATGTGAAGTCCTGGTAATAAGGGCCATAACATGACCTTCCCTGTCCAGTGAATGGAAGGGTTAGCAGTACCTCCAAGTAGATAAAGGTAAGTATTTTGTTATAGCACAGAACAAATCCAGCTGGTCTTTGATTTATTAGCATCTGCTCCACAGTGACGCAGATATTCTGAAAGATGACCCACTTTCCATGTGTCCAAAGACCTCGAGAGCCTAAGAGCTGAATCCTGGATGGAATGCACCAGTCAGCTCTTGCCAGCTCATGGGCACGCAGCTGTGGCTACTGTTCTACATAACTTCTCACTCCACAGCTGTCCTTTCTGTCTGTTGCCAAAGGTTACCAGATTTTTGCCTTGTCTGAACCAGAAACAAAAGAGTCAAAATGCTCTTCCAAATTATTACATTAAAAAAATTCACATTATGATGTAATCTATATACAATAAAACCCATCACTTAGTTGAGTATAGCCCTTTATGAGTTGAGTATAGCCCTTTATGGTATATATACAGTCATAACCACAACTGTGTTCACATATGAAACACTCCCATGATACCCAAAGTTCTTTCATGATTTCTCCAAATTTCCTGAAGTTATTCCCTCTTCGACCAGCTCTGGGGTAGGGCAACCCGAATCTGCTTTCTGTTGTGACAGTTTTGCTTTTTCTAAAATTTCATAGAAATACAATCCTGCACTGTCCTGTCTTCAATGCCTTGCTTGGCATTCTATCTTGTATGTCTATGGTGTTCTAATGGGACACACTAGCTCTGGTTTGGAGCAAAGGGAGCAGAGAATTGCTCCAGTAATAGTTGTCTGTTTGGAGGTCTGTTGCCTAGCAATGCTGCTTATCAAACCGGTATTGCCTAAGGTTCCACTGTTGATGCAGGGTTCCTTATTTCTTCTGGAAAGAAGTGCTGCTTGCTTTAGACATCTCTAATTGTCTTTGTATTCAAGCAAGTTTGCCTCAACAGGGACTCATGCTATGTTAAAGAGAATTTCTCT